CGGGACCCCCCGTGGGGCGAGGAGACCCCAAGTGCTGCGTCAGGGGTTCGAGGATCCGTGTTTTGCCCTGGCAGGTGGGGAAAGGGGCCCCGAGCTGGAGCGATGCACCACAGGGGAGCCCGGCCACGTGTTCTGGGATGCTGCGGTCCACGTCCCAGGGGAGCTGGGTGAGGGACCCCCAACGCAAACGGGGCTGGGGGGGGGACCACACCGGCACGGTGCAGAGAGGCACCGCTGCTGCTGAGCCGGGTGGTAGAGCAAGATCTGGTCAGGGTCTGGTGCTGCCATGGCAGCTCGGTGTAGAGCCAGCACCTCGCAGCGCCGGCTCATAATTAATTGGCAGGAGCAGTGGGTCAGCGCGGCAGCGAGGATTACCGTGGCCAGGATTTCCATCGGGCGCGGATTAGGAGCCAACAGAGCCTCTCCTGAGTGGATCTGAGGGGATTGCCGCTCCTAATCAATGTAAATGAGGCTCCCCCAGGGCCACCCTTTACGGCATTAACGAACTAACGGGATTAGCCCGAGCAGGGTGAGAAATCCTTTCTCTGAGCTGTGGCACGTGGCGGGGCTGGGGCCATGGTGGGCAACCGCGGTGGGTCGGCTCTAGGCTGCCGGAGCTGGGGAATGCCGGGGCCCCGTGCCGCCCCTGCGCACCCAGGGCTGCGCGGCGAGGACCGGGAGCTGCCTCCCGCAGGGACCCCGGTGCCTGCGGGACCCTGGTGCCCATCAGCCCCCTGGTTGGGTCGATCTGTCTGTCCCACTGCCTCTGTTCCCTCCTTGAGGCTGCCGGCACGTTGCCGGCGGGACCCAGCAGCACCGTTTCATGCTCCTGTGCTCTCGCAGGCGTCCCAGCCGTGTGTGTAGCTCGACACCTGTAGCACCGGTCCTCAGCAGCGTCCCTGCAGCCCCAGGCCGGCCCACGTCCCCCGAGACGGCGATGCCGCACTGTGGGGCTGAGGATGCACAGGGGTCTCGGTGTGTTGGGGGCTCCAGATGGAGGTTGAGCAGGGGGATACCGCCGCCCCCCAGGGTCCTTGCTCTGGCATCTGCCCGTTCTCCAGCCTCCGGGTCCCTTTCAAGGAGGGTGACGGTGTTTGGGAAGGCACAGGGGGTGTCTCTTGACCCCCCCGTTCTCCCCTTCCCTTGCAGCCTGCGGCGGGAGGGCTACACGGTGCAGGTGAACGTCAACGACTACCTGGACATCTACTGCCCGCACTACAACGCCTCGGTGCCTGAGCACCGGCTGGAGCAGTACGTGCTCTACATGGTGAACGCGGAGGGCTACCGCACCTGCAACACCAGCCAGGGCTTCAAGCGCTGGGAGTGCAACCGGCCCCACGCGCCCCACAGCCCCATCAAGTTCTCGGAGAAGTTCCAGCGCTACAGCGCCTTCTCGCTGGGCTACGAGTTCCGCGCGGGGCAGGAGTACTACTACATCTGTACGTGGG